TTTGGAGAAGAGAGATCCCCTGTGTATGAGGTTGAGAACTAATCTATGCTCTGGTCTCTGGCCATAACTAGTTAATTCAATATTTCCCCACGTTGCGTTAAGTTTATCATTGTTTAACTCTTGAGCTCTTGGTAAAGTATGGTATGCCATTGGTAAAAATCTGTAACTCCACTAAAGTAACTCTAATTTACCACATTTTACGAATGCCCTATGAGCTCAAGAGTTCAAGAATGATCGACTCAAAGCAACATGAGAATAAGTCTTCGAAGTAAATTAACTGGTAATCGCCACGCACCAGAAAAATAACCTTTCGCCTAGGCAATCAATATCTTCTGGTAGTTTCGTCATTCGATATTGCGTCTTTTCTGTATTTTTTTTTTTAAACACTTTATTGAGAAATATTACAATTCGTCACAGTTAAGGACACTTATAATAGAGTTCAGAGAGTACATTCATACCGTATATACAAAAATATAAATAAATAAAGTAATAACAAAAGAATAAGAAAAAAGAACAGAAGAGAAAAGAAAAAAAAAAAAAAAAAAATAAATATATATATATATATATATATATATATATATATATATATACACATAAGTAAGTAAAACATTTCTGTATTAAATAAAATTTTAAATTTTATTAAGATGATTTTTCCTTTCACATATCTATATATAGAATAGGAAACTATTGCGATCGTGAAAATTTTCGAATCTCATTTTTCAACGAAAATACATGTTTTGAGGTCCCCTTGAGTAGAAATAACCAAATTTCACAAAATAGTCCGTGTGTGTACGTGCGTGCTAGCGTGCTGTGTATGTTTGAACATCCTATTCAAAAACCGAAAGGTGGTATGAAATTTAAATTGCGTATTTAAGGTTTGCATATGGTTCCGATGTGACAGAAACTTTTTTGTTAAAATTGACTAATCGGTTGTATTATATTGCCGATTTTACACATTTTTACGATTTTCTCGAAAACGGCTATAACGATTTTGAATAACCTCGGTGTATCGATGTATAATTAAGTAATGTTTAATATCATTTAGGGCTTATCTCTATTTACGTCGCTTAACTGGACTTAGATGTCCAATGTTCAAAATGTTTTCCTCTAAAGTACCTTTAATTTAGTTTATTGTAAATAATTAACTATATCTAATTGTTAGGAGTTAGGAAAAAAGGCTAAATATAACTTTCGGAAGAATTTGATGATTGAATAAACGAGGAAAAAAGAAAAATTCTTATCTAGCTCGAAAATGAATCTCCGGATATAATAGTCAGAAGATATACGTATAATATGTCGTTGGAAAGCGGAAAATTTTAGAATACATAATAAACAGAGTTGTGGAAGCTAACGGAGAGGGACGAAAAACTTATAAATAAAAATTTTTGAAAACTAATATTATTGAATTTAAATCACATGTTTCCAAGGAAATTTAATGGAATTTTCTTCATAGACGTTAACGTTAATTTTTACATTAAAAGGTCGAAGTATCGGGTTTTTGGAACTGACATGGGTTAGACTAAATGCGAATAAAATGTGTTGAACACATTGGTTTTTATATTTTTGGACTAAAAACAAATTAAAATAGAATTATATGCTGGAAATATGTAGAAATTTATAGAATTTTTTTGATTTTTATAACTTGAAAATGAGGACTAGAGACGTTGTAATTACTTCAATAAATAATAAATCTATCCTTAAGGACACCATATGTATTTAAGTACACTAAGGGCCGATGAACAACATACTACTGACAGTACATATATAAACAAGTTTAAAAATGTATATACTTACACACATATATGGGTACAGAGGAAATATAATGGAAAAAAATAAGTTAATACTGCCGATAAGTAGTTAATACCGTAATACAATCCAAATCCTTAAATTATGGTCGTAATTTTTGAGTGAGGAGTTAACAAGGGAACATGAAATAAGCTTAGAACAAACTACTTTCTTCACTATTGGATTTAAACTTATCCATTAACTTAGTTGAAAAACTCATTCCTGAAGTATAGATTGAAGCAATTAATTTAGCAGAACTTGATGGCATTAACCAGAGCATGCACTGCTTTGCTATTATATACGAACTTGTTGATATTAATTATCACAACGCAGGATACATAAGCATATACTATAGATATAATGTGAGGATATATCACTATTTCTCATGTATAGGAAAAGTCAAACTGAAATTCACTAACAAATTCCTTCTCAATTTTCTTTATTTTTTTATCATCACTAATCTCAAAAAAATGGTTAATCGGCGTGGAAAATAGTAAGCTTTGAACATAAAGTTAAATCTAGAGTTCAGGATGTTCTTAATACTTTTTAAGTTCAATAAGAATAAACAATAGCTGAAATATTTTGGCTTTTATTTATAAATATTTAATCTACTATAGCGTCATCATTCCAATCCCAGATCGCTGGTCTACTCAGCTTGATCTCGTGGCAAAATGGTTTATAATAAAAAGTTTCAATTTTAAATGATTAAAATTTGCTATAATTAAAATTACAGAACGAAAATTTGATAAGGCGAACTCTCTGAGGCATCGAATATATTCATCAATAAATATCGTTAGGTAATGCCAAAATCATGAAAATTACAGAAAAACCTCTTACATCAAAGAGATACTGCCAATCTGGTAGTCCGTGGCACAGACCCCGTTTATCTAATTATTAACATCCACCTGAAAGTTCGTGAATAGCTTCATCTCATTGTAACCTAAAAATATTTTATTTACGAAAATTCTCGGGATCGTTTTCTATCTGGGGGTTGGCAAATTTTGTCTATTTAATTAGATACTAAAACTCGTGAATACTTATTTGTTTTTAACTTGAATCGTAAGATAATTTGATTATAAAATCGAGAACAAATATGGCTTACAAAAATATTGGGCCGTTTGGCGTTACCTACAACCCTAACATTTTAAAATAACGAGGTTATATAGGCCAAACGGCCTAATATTATTATAGGCCACCGTTTCTCTCGGTTATATGATCAAATTATCTTCCGATCCCAGTGAGAAGCAAATGGGCATTTACGAATTTTTTCGTACCTAATTAAATAGAAAAGGTTTTCCGATTTCCAGATTGAAAACGGCCCAATTCCAAGAGTTTTCGTAGATTCACGAATTTTCTTACAGGTGTCAATAATTTGATAAAAAGGGATCTGTGCCATGGACTATATGGAAGGAGACCATAGAAAATATATAGGTAAAGGAAATGTAATGTTTGATGGAAAATTCAAAATGAAAGAAAATTAATGAGAATAACTTTTAGCGCGATTTCAAAGTGCAGTGGTAAGGACGGTCTACAAGTTCTTTTTTTTTTTTTTCTTAATGACATTTACAACTGTATTACATAAATACATCTAGTAAATTTGGACATAATAGATATAATGACATGAATACACTTGCTGAGTAAATACCCAATGGTAGCATAAGTTCTAAAACTGATAATAGATAATTCTGATATTCATTCGCTGAATTTATTATATAATATACAACACTAAAATTATAGTGTTGTATTCCAATCCTTTATTATAGTCCTTTCTAATTGGATCTAAGATAATACGATCACAAAATCAAGAAAAAATGTGGCCTATAAAAATATTGGGCCGTTTGGCATATATAACCTCGTTATTTTGACATTTTGGGGTGTAGGTCACGCTGGATGTTTTACGCATAAACATCAAAACAACCAACCAACAATATGTCACCTTCTAAAATATTATTTCATTTCAGCAGGGGTCTCCAAAATTTTTATCCCGGGAGCCACATTGAAACCTCGACTAAGTTACGCGGGCCGTATTACGACTTCCAACTAAGCACCGCGGGCAATGACTTGTAAAAAAAAAGTTCTGTATATGACACTTGAAGCTGTGAAATGACCTTTTACAGAGAAAAAACGCACGTAATAAATGCTGTAGTACTCTCGTGAGTGAGTATTTAGCAAAATTTCACATTTTTTAAATTTTATCATGTAATCAAAGAAACATTCGCGGGCCGTAGTTTGGCGATCTCTGTTCTTTAATATAAGCAGATTTTGACATAGTTCACAAAAGTTTTGAATTTGTTACTCGAAAAAATAGGATTCAATTTGTAAACTCGGAAAAGTAAGTTAAGCATTTTTTTTCATGACAAAGGGCAGTGCAAAACTCTTAAACCCAAAATAATTCAAGGTCGGAATGTTTTATAGGATGAATCCTCTAAACAAATCTAGACCATTTCTAAGCAGCGATAGACATTTTATTTATCTTATTCATGAAACATAAGTTATATATTATTTTTTCATAATTTAACAGGACTTGTCTCCTAATTATATTTTTTAAAACTCGATGAAAAGTAATTAACGTTTTAAGTAATTAAATATTGGAAACATTGTAAATGATTGAAACATAATTTTGCCCAGATGGATTTTGCCAACTGCGAGGCATCTCAGCGGATGGAACGCTCATCTGAAGACTTTTAGTTGATTTTTAATGATTTTGGATTAAAATGTTTCCTAATACTGCAAGCTTGTCTAACTAACTTATTTAAGGATTTACTGTTACATTTATTGTTTGACGCCTTTTATAATAGCTTGTTTTCAAGTATTGTTATTATCTTCAAGATTCCTTCACTATATATAATAATTTTAGAAAGTATGTAGCCGATGTTTACCCATCATATGTTTGCATATATAACTACAAATAAAAAATATATATAAACTTAATTGACGGTATTGATAATCTACAGGTTTTACCTCTTAACTCCATAACAACCAACCAACCGATCGTATCTGATTAAAACACTATCACTATTCATGTTCATTACAGAATATTTTTTTCTCCTCGTTATTAGGAGCCTTCCTGAACCAAGTTAAAAAATAATGTCTATTAGTATCACTAATTGAAATCAATTATTTCTTCCTTCATTACCGAAGCAATTGGTTCGTTAATAAATCTTAGAACTAGGCGTATTAATTGAGCGGGATGGTAGGGCTAGAATTACTTCATCATGAGACCGCCGATTGAAGAGTCGCAAGTCCTTGAAGGTATGAGCGTTTTCCTTTTGAAGGTTACTGGATTTTGGAATGCGATCAACACCTATCTCACCAAGGGGCGAAGGGGCATCCCCTTCAATGCTTTCACTGCATACGCATTTATATACGCTTTCCCGTACATACTGTTTCAACTAGTCAGTGTCTTAGTCATACCCCTTAATGTCGAAACCCTATCGTTCGTATTCTTGAATAGCGTTCCATGTTCGCATGTATATCTGAAAGTTTCGGCTTTTTGGTACAGGATAAAAGAACTGAGTGAAATATTTACACTGCTAAGACAAGACTTCCTCTCGTGTATACCATCGCATAAAATGACGAAAGTTAAAGAAATTCAAAGATATTGGGCCAAATTTTCGAATATAGCCAGCTTAGTGGCAATAAGTTGTGCAACGCTGTGCATTACAAGTTGGATTGCTGTGCCAGGAATCAAAGCCGTGGATGACACTGGTGCTGTGTCCAAGAAGATACTTGGAGGTTGGTATCCATTTCCTTTTTCAAGAACTCCGTGGAAGCAGATTGTGTTTTATTACGAGATGATTTTGATGAGTACCCACGCGACTACCATAACTTTATTCGAATGTTATATGATTCAGCCATTGCTGTGTTTATGCGCCCACTTCAGTGTATTAGGCTATCATATATCCACTTTAAAAGTTGATGACGTTGTCTACAGTAAATCTAAAGACCCATCAGACTACATGAATAAAGAGTTACGAGCCATCCTGTTAGACTACGATAAGCTCCTCAGGTATATAATTTATGTCTTAATATCTGGAGTTGAAACTTTTATAGGACTTTTTTCAAAAGTTCCATTTAACAGTTTATGTGAAAATTTTTAGAAAAATAAAAGTTCGAAGGAACTTGTTTTTTAAAAATAAAGTTCTTGATTTACGGAAAAGTATAACTTTTATTTGAAATTATGTTAAATGAGAAATAATTGTAATTGGGGTGATATGATAGTTATAATTTATCATAAATGAATTCAATGATTCTAGTGCTTCGATTATTTGAGTAGCTTATAATGAAACACACTTTTTAGATCGACTTATTGGCGAAATAATTGCTTCAATAGAACTTCCAAATATTGTTTTTTTTCAAAATAAATGTTTTGTAAAATCTTTACTTGAGAAAATAAAAGGAAAAACGTTCCAGTTTAGAAAAAAAAAACAAAAAAAGTTAAAAATAAAAATATTATTAAGTAATAGATTCATAAACATTCAAAGATATTTGAAAACAGATACCTTCTGTCTGTAATCATATCTAAAATGTAATTTTCAAAGATAGTTGATCTCCGGTTACCGAGTTTTACTTGTTCCAATGTAGCGAATTTGGGTTTTGTATTTTCAATAATGGATCTTTGTTCTATACCAAACAGAAATATTTTAGCCCATGTCCTATTAAAATTATATTTTACATTTCAAAACACAAATAGTCGAAAAATCTAAAAAAAAAAAAAAAAAGCAATTTTATTTTATGCGGTTTTACTTTGATACTATAGTATCAACAATTTTTTTTTTTATGATTTCGTAACAAAGTCACAGATAATTAATATAGTCTTATTTCAACAAGTCTTATTCATTTTAATTTTCTTGTAGGTTATAATTTTAGAAAAATAGTTCGGAGCAAATTTAATCAAATTCTCCGATTTTGGCTTAATTTTACAATTAAACATTCAAATAATGTCAATGCTTATTATTAAACTGCAAAATTATAAAATACTATAAAAGCCTACAAGAAAGAAAGGATGAACTGTTTCTTTTCTTCTTCAGATTAGAAATTTTAAATTAAGACATTTTTTCTTTTCATCATTTTAAGACAAGAATGATGTTTTCAATTTTTTTTTAATGTAAAAATAGGTTCTGAATTTTCCGAAGGTGAAGCTTAACGAATGATATTTAATAATTTATTTTTTAGCAACTATAAAATATGCTTAAAGTGTTTTTGATTATAAAGGTTTACATACAAATTACTTTGAATCTATTATTATAATTTACTTACTTACAAATAGTTAAATGAAATGGGACACCTATGCGTTACCTATTAGCATAATTATATTAAACCTGAAGGGATTGTTACATATATTTTCCGAAAAAGAAATAATTTTTACATTATTTTATTTTTATTATTTTTTTAAAGATATACTGCTGTAATGCAAGACATCTTCAATCTACTCGTTACAGCTATATTGGGTGCAAATATAGTAATTATCATCATTGCCATTTTGCAGCTCAAGCTTGTATGTTATTATATTTCATAGTAAACATTTATTACACAGTCTTGTAACTTACTACAATGATGTAATTGTTGACATTTTTAGGGGAAGATGGATGCACTTTTTATATACCAATTCTGCACATTTCTCTCTTACGGAGTGACAGAGGTGATTTTGCTTTGTACCAGCTCTTCGGCTTTGCAAACAGCTGTGAGTGCATTTTTACTTAAAAATTACAATCAGTTACATATAACTTAAAAACCTTACCTTTTCGTTGAAGTATCAAACGGAAAATAGAAAAAATAAATAATAAACTTCTGAATCTTGGTGTAATTCAGATTGTAGAATAATATCGGAAGGCGAAAGGGAAACCAGTTTGAAGATCCTAAACAAAGATTTTTATTTCCTTTTAGAATAGGGTTTTCCATATACAACATTAAAGTACACAAAAGTTTCTGTAAGAAATTTTTTTCATATAGTCAGTAGTTTTAGACAATATATGTATATTTATGTTTCGCGATACAGGCCAACAATGGACCACGCGTATATCACTTCTAGGTCTTTTTCTTTTCTGCCCATATTCTTTTCATTTTTCTTCCATCTTCCTTCCTCTTTCTTTGCTCTGTCCATTTCTTACTTTTTCCTTTTTCTTTTTCGCTACAAGAATCTTTATGTTTTTCACTATTTTCCCGAATTTATTCCTACTTGGCAGTCCTCTTTGATATCCAATTTTTTCACTTCTTCTTTTATTTGCTCCGGATAACTTTTATTGTTCCTCAGTCCCATTACTGTATCGAATATTTGTTCGTTTAACCTATTCCAATGGATTCTCTTCATGTGCCCGAAGAAATTTAATCTCATTTTTCTTATCGATGATTTCAAGGATTCTATATGTTTCTTTTTTAATCGGTATTATTTCCTTCACCTTAGATTTTATAGCCTCGGTATTATAGCCTCAACTATCTTTAAAAAAAATTTACATTTGGTAAATCTCGTAGGATCGGCCCCGTTGAGAATTACCGGTTTTATAACTGTTTCATAATGACTAATTTTGTCTTTCCTGGAAAGATTATTTTTATTACACAAACATCTGAATAAGAACCTTAATTTATCCAATTATTTATATATCATTCGTCAATATCAAAGGTAAGAAATCTTTGAATTCATGTGGTTCAACATGTTTTCATCCTCACAATATTAATATTCCAATCGCGTTTTACGTTACATACATCGAGGTACAAATTTGTTTCTCCCTCTGTCTTTCGACAAATAAATATAACAGACATATCACCTATAACGATAGTTTGAATTTAATGAAATTTCCATAGATTGTGTGGGTTGGTAGTTAGATAGTTCCATTTCGATTTCAACTAATTTTAATTACTATCTCCTCTTATTTACACGAAATATATTGGTATTTATATTTTCTCCGAATATAAATAATTACAAAAAAATTACAACATTAATTAAATTTATTGTAAAGTTTCTTTCTTTTTCATATCTATGATCAATGATAAAGTTTAGTTCAAATAAATATTTAGTATGATTCAAGTATTAATTTAATTCTATTTTCCATAAAATTTTGTTTCAAAATTTAATTTTATAATATGCGATTAAAAACAGCAATAAATAAAAATAACATAAATTTGTTTTCAAAATCACTTATAATTCACTCATGTTGATATTAATTGATGTTATGTATCATAAAACAATAAATTTGTGAAGTAATACTCAACCTTAATTATAAATATACAATTTATCTTACAAAATATTTTCCGAACATTAAAAAATTAAAATTAATTATTTTGTTATAGTATTTAGTCCTGCCAAGGTAGCTAAAAAATTATTAATAGGGGGGAAAACACGGTTTAGAAACTTACATACTTATGCAATTCTTCTGTTTAACATAAAAAATGTTCATGGTGGTGGAAACTTTATCTAAACGACACTTTTTCTTAGATATTTCGGTAAATATTATCATAATCACTATACAAAATTAACCTTGCCCGCCACTCTCCAATCATAACAAACACATGAGGCGTTTGTTTTCAAAACCGGTTACATCCATTTCTAAAATGCTTCAAAACTGATTCAAAAAAGCTTATATAGAACCACTTTTGATAGGAAATCGAATCTTTTGGTATTGATTTTCGGAAGATCTGGACGATTTTGAAAGAAACACATCTAATTTAATAAAAATAAACATTAAAAACTCAAAATTAAAAAAATATTTGTAACCGGTTTTGAAACGAAACGCCACATATTATTTCTGTGAGAATGTCGAACTGCAAGTACATGCATAGTCATAGAAATTGAAATTTTATTTTATTTACCAGATTGGTATCTTCAAGTTTTCTGGATATTTCTTTTTCAGCTTTGAAGCGGTATTCTAAAAACAATAGGAACCATTAAGCGGTCAAATTATTCATTTTTCTTTTCTCCTTCGAGTTCCTTTCTTTTGCTCCATCTTTTCTTTTTTTTATTTCTTTTTTGTTTTTCAAAACTATGATTGGTGGTACCCTATCCTCGTCGCTATTCCCCGTGAAAATTCCTTCACTTGATGTAACAATGTCACAATTATAATATTTTCTGACGAGGACCGTTTTTTTAAATTGGCCATAATTAAAGCTTTTATCCTGACATTAATCAAAACTGAACTGTGAAACATGGTTTTATTTTTGTTGTAACCTAAATAAAGCAAACAGAAACAACATTCAGGGCAATCGCACCAGTGATGGGCATTGCTATGAAGTTTTTTGTCTTTTTTGGCTTATGCCGCCGTAATTATTATAGTTATAAAATTCTGTGTTGAACGTTCATAACCTCTAGGGTCTCCTTTTTCTATTTAGCACTTTAAAATTGAAAAAAAAAATATTCAGTTATACAGGTATAACCTCCATTTAAATAAAAAACCTATTTTTACTAGTGATGGACATCCCAAACTTCAATTGTTCTAGTAATAGACAGGAGATCGGTTCCAGTAATGAACATATATAAAAAAAAATTCTAAATTTTTATTTAACTATAAAGATAAGATAACAGAAATCTTCAACTTACTCTTAGCAATAGTGTTATAAGGAGGTTATGATACACACTGATCTCAAGAGCACTGTAGAAACAACAATGATATGCATTTTAAATTTTTTTTTTTGTAAACTTTGTTCAAACAATTGTCTATAGACGGCATTGTTCTCCAATCTAGAAATAACTGGGAACTTTTAATCAGCAAGGAGCTTATTATTTACATTTAATGTTCAATCTGTCCATCACTGGGCCCTCTGTCCATAACTGGTGAGTAGGGGTGGTTAGGGATGGTTTTAGAAACATTATCAACATAAGAATCAAAAGAAATAGATGATGCAATTTCTATAACTCTAAGTAGCCACGTCGGCTTTTAGTTTATTCTGTTTAGAACATTATTTTGGGCAGTAAATTTAAATGTTTATAAATCACTATTATGTACTGAAATTATTTAATTATAAAAGTGTCATATATTAATTTATTTTGAAATAGCTTATTATTTTTTATTTATTTCAAGAGTTCGAAAATTAGCTTCGCTTTGTATAGCAGCGATTGGTACCTGGTCGACAGAGAATACGCTAGAACCGCGCAAATGATGATGGTTAGAACTTGCAAACCTCTCACCCTTAAAGTCATCAAGATGTATCCAGTCAGCGTGGAAATCTTAGTTGGGGTAAGTATAAATATTTAATATCCATGAATTTCTACTGGGATGTCTTCTGGTCGCCGAAAAATAAACACTTATCTTATTGGAGTGGAGATGGTTACCGTATTATAATTTGAGAAGAAGTTAGTCAGCGGGTCGATAAATATGAGTGCCTTTCAGTTGACAGAATGACCAACTAGTTGGAAAATTTATAATATCTGTACAGACCACGGGCGGATCTACAGGGGAGAGAGCTATCTGGCTGAAGCCCGCCCAAAATTGTAAAATATAACCATGTTTTATGAAATAAGTATTAAAAAATTATCTTTAAAAGTACTATTTTTCGTGTAATTACATTTAATATCAATTCAAGAATCACTTTAAGACCATTTCATTTAGTTAGTTTCTTTCAGTTTCTTCCAAAGTAATTATCGTTATATATACAGAAAGAAAAGGGTTCGGGCTGAAGCCCCCTTCTCCCTCACAAAGTAATTCCTAAATTGTTTCAATTTTAAAACAAAAATTTTCACAAGAGATGTATAGGTTCTAACAATATTAACTCATTCTTTCTATGTATTTTGTAATTGATGTTTTGGATAATACTCAAATTTTTTTCCAAAAAATCCAATTTTACTAGCTATCAATAATATTAGTAGATAATATATTGTCATAAAAGAATGACCAATTAACATATTAGATGGGTGGGAAAGCGTTACTATACACTTGTTTTAAATATTTCAAACCATCTATGATTTTTACGCTGATGTGCGAAAGTTATGTGATGTCTATTGTTTCATTCAATTGGTACAGGTAGTGAGTATGTTGGTTCTAGAGTATGTAATCACTAAAATTAATAATAAAAATGTTGACATTGGAATAAGGAAGTTAGTTAGAGAAGTTGGAGTTCGTTAATTAGTAAATTGAGAAGTAGAATAATGATACTATTATATATGCAATATTAATTTATAATATATGAGTCCTTTAGTTGACAGAATGATAGAACTCCAATTATAACATTTTCGACTATAGTTTAATTTTAGTGATATTTCTAGTTGAAAATTTATAATGCCTATATAGACAGTAAGTAAATTTATTCCAGAGTAGGTGATTGCAGTATTGAAATATAGAACTTTGAATAAAGGCATCAATTTCCCCATTTAAAATATCATTAAAATTAGTAATAAAAAATGTTGAAATTGGAGTTAGTCATTCTGTCAACTGATATTATACTGATCTCACCCCCGACTAACTTATTCTCACACTATCTTATTGGTATTTAACTAGATAGGTATCCCATATTTTAAAGTTACAATTAATTAATAAGTGGATTTTTAATTAATTTTTTTTATTTTTCAGCTCTTTCAATTCACGTACACTACAGCCATGGTACTGTCCAAATAAACGACATTTTACAAGCCCTTGTAAATGATGAACATATATTTTTAAAAGATCATTAAGTATGTAAAAAGTTATATTTTTGTAACTGAAATAAATCATGCTGAAAAAAAATTCTTTATTAAATATAAATTCCATAAAAAAGTTTTAATAAAATATTTTTCAAAGACACCTCTCCCTGATTGAGCACTCGTGTAATAAATGGCTTATTAAAGTAAATGAATCCAGATGCCAACACATCACCTTCACACTCCGACGCAGTTCCTGTCCACCAGTACACTTTAATTCCATCCAGCTTCCTTTCTCAGACACAGTCCGGTACCTTTCTGACGACTAACGTCGAGCCCTCATACTAGACTTAAAAGACAGGAACTTAACCGACGATACAGCCAACTATACATACTACTACATAGGACATCTAAACTCCCTATTGAAAATAAAATACTTATCTACAAGACAATACTGAAACCTACTTTGACTTACTGACTTGAACTGTGGGGAAAACAGCAAAATTTTCTAACATCAAACGCATCGAATCCTTCCAATCCAAAGTCCTTCGAACAATAGTCGATGCTCTTTTCTATATAATCAACAAAACTGTCCACCATGACCTTAATATCCCATTTGTCCTAGACCTAATCCCAGCAAAATTCTCTAAATTTCACCAGGATCTTACCTATCATTCAAATCCCTTTGCACAATCCCTATCCACCACCACCCATCCCTATAATCCTCCAAGAAGGTTAAAACGGCTGGGGCCCCTCGACCTTTTATAGTTTGTAAATATTGGAGTTCTGGCAATGGCCCTGCGACCTTTTATAGTTTGTAAATATTGGAGTTCTGGCAATGGTCAGATTCTCCACTCACGACATGAGTGTATGTATGTATGTTGCTAAAGAACTCTTGCTCAATCTCCACTGGGTTTAGCCCCAGTGACGCGGTTGAGATAGAAGTGCAGGGATCCTGGGATCATGCTTTTCCCTCCACAGTTGGAGGGACAAGTCTGGCTCGGAGTTCACTCGCCAGATTGCAAATAATGTATATAGGTATGTGTGTGTTCTTTTTATTTATTTATTTTTAGGTTATTTTATTGTTATTTATTATATATATATTATTTTTTTGTATAATTTATTTTATTTATTGTACATAGAGTGTGAATGTAATCTCTGAAAACTATTATAAATGTCCTTTTAGACAGATTGTAAATAAATAAAATAGTTTACATGTTATTAATGTTAGATTTTACATACACGACATAGACAACACAATAAAAATAAAAAAATAAATGGATTGTTAATGTTTAAAACTTATGGAGGTCGGTACTCGAACTGCACTTAAAAATTCATTGCAAAAGGTACACTTTTATGAAGTTAAGTGAAAAAGGACTTGTTTTAGTCACTTTGATTGCAGACACGCTTCTATAAAACAATACCTTATTGTAAATTGGAACAGTACCGTTACTCTTTAATTACTTGACGCTCAATCTATAATTTTTAACACGTTTCCAACTCCATATACGTTCAGGAGTTAGTGGAATGACCCGAAAAAGAGAAAACAATGAGAGATCTAATCCAAATACTAGAACAATCCCAAAATGTTCTCTTTTTATACCAATATCCCTATTAATTAATAAATAGGATAATGTTGACAGATTCAATACATGTGATATTTTTTTGAACCAACGGTTTTACCAATTTTTACTGTTAATAGCTCAAATTATCCTTTTATTAATCACTTTCACACAGTGAGGCCAATCACCGATCTAGGAGGACAAAAACGACTTTCAAAATATGATAAATGTAATATAACATCCTTTTTATTGATAGTTGCTGATTTTAAAAGTGGCCTAGTAAAATTTCAAAGTTTGTTTAAACTTTAACAGTAGGGTACAGAAGAGAGAGGGTTGGGCGAGTAGCTCTTAAGTGCAACCAGTTGATAAATAGATCCATCATTATTTTATTCATAGTTTAAATCAGTGCCTATGTTCATTATTGCTTAAGACTACTTTTGATAGTTCAATTGACTATCTTTATTTTCTTCACCAATTTAGGTTGAACCACTTTAATGTTTAACCACTGAAATACATACATTATATAGTCTATGCAATGCCCTTACCGGTATCTCGCAGCTACAATTATTTTTTAATGTTGTGGCATTTTTTATATTCTTTCAAAACATAATCATCAAATTTTGCGCACCTTTGTGCTAAGTACTGTTTTTTTAAAATTATTTCAGAAAACGTAAACATAAGTTTTGGAATTAATTATTTTTAATGTTATGAAAACGTTATGAATTGTGCAATTAAAATTATACAGATTTGTAAGACAACGCAGTTTACTGTTTATATAAATAATAAATGAGTGTTAAAAATAAGCTCAGAAAATTATTTAATTTTTTTTTCTAGAGAAACGTGTCATAGCTGAAGCATATTTTCTAGATCTGATAACAATTAATAACAGCCACCAGTCTTCTCGAGGTTTGGAGAGAACAAGGAGACCGGATAATGTTTTTCTGATCGCTTCGAAAAGTTAATTGAAAGAACAGAATATAATATGGTAGTAGGAGTGCACTGAAGGAGCCTGTATAGCGCAAGTTGCGCCAACAAAATTTTGGGAGAGCGTATTTTTACGAGTTATAGATTTTGAAGGGGACGAATATTTTCAGACTGTGTAGACGAGGAAAGAGAAAAACGAAAGAAATAAAAGGGAACTTTAAATTGCACTTAGGAAGCGATTATGAGGGACTAGTGTTACCCTAAATTGGTCTTGGTCTTGGCCTTTGCAAGACCAAGACCTATGTCGCCTAACTGTTTGCAAGACCAAGACAAAAAAAAAAATCGATTTTTGGATAAAAATTATTGCAAAATAGTTACAAATACTTTACAATCTTAGTTATCATACGTAAATAATTGGTATAACCAATATAATTTTGCATTTAACTCCTCTAATTTTTCATTCGGGCTTAGTTAGGTTTCTTCTATCTAAAAAACTACAGCAATATCTCTATAGTAATAAGCTAATAAGTAACTGAAAGACCGTTTCGAGAGTCTTGCGCAAGACCAAGACTCGTCTCGGTCTCGCATTTGGGCAAAATATGAGGGGCTTCAGTCAAAGAGTGAGTGAGCTTTCTAATGATGTTGATTAGAAGGTAGAAGAAATAGATTGAATACATTTTAATACTTCCATACGAGTTTCCTTTATATTAATATTATTGTTAGTTTTTTTATTCATTCTCAGGAATTATGATTTTGAATTTAAATTTTTACCATAAATTCTAATAGCTTATTTATTGAAATATATTACAATCTGTCTCAGGGACATTAATAATAGTGTTCACAGATCACATTCACCATAAATTAAACTTATATTGACATAAATAAGACTACTTGTACAAAATTGTATAAAAGATTTATTTTTATTTATTTATGACAAATACAAGCATAGTTTTTTATTCGAAAATTATGCTCAATGAATTTTGTTGTCCTAGATCGGCTATCGGTCCCACTGTGAATAAGTGGGATCCCGTGAACGATTTGAAATAATCCGAGCTCAAAACACTGACAAATTATTAAATTATAACACAGGAACTTTTCCTACTAAATGTATAAAAGTTACTTCTATATATTATCTCTAAAAGCATTATTTTAATCACGGCTATTTAACCATTGAAAAAAAAAAATAGAAAACATCGCTTCTGTTAGTGCAAAAGGTATATAAGGTAAGCAAAAGTATATAAAAATTGAGCTTTTTCAAAGAAGTGGATGCAAATTGATTTTTTTTTTTTTTTTTATGATTTATTAGTATAAATTCATATTTTGTTTCACTCTGCTATTTTCTAATTAAAGAAACATTGCTTCTATCGATGAACTGGCCGATCTATGTGGAGGCCTCCCAAAATGGAAACAATTTTTTTTTCACTAGTACATATTTGATAATCTGAGCTATCTAAGCTATATACTAGCATCTCACACAATTTATTTGGTTTTATAAGTCGAAAAAATCATTGAAAATTAGATACCCGACCGGTTTTGTCTTCGAATGACGAAAGTTGTTGTATATTTCTTTTGCAGTGTCTAAAATTGATGGTACGTTTAAATCTTTATGTAATATATCATTTGCGACATAAAACGGTGCGTCAACTATGCTTCGCACTTTTGACTGGAAGGACTGTATTTTTTTTAATGTTCGAAGTTTTAGGAGAACTCCACAGCTCTATGCCGTTTGTCCAAATTGGTGAAAAGTAGAACTTCATAAAGGATAAGTTTGTTAGTTAAATATAATTTTTAATGTATGTCAAGTAACCTGGATATAAGACCATATCGTCTGTCTAATATGAGTCCTCCAAGTAAGTCTTTTGTCTAGGTGAAAACCTAAATATCTAATTACATCTGATGTCGGGATTTCAATGTTATTAAAATATATTTCAGTGGATGGTGTATTCTATATATAAAAACATCAATCTTCCCGCCCTCTTAAAATGAAACCCTGGATCCGCCATTGTTTTGATGAAAAATTTATCTGAATCTACACTCTTTCAATAGTCTTAAAAAAGGCAAATAGTATTTCTGTTTATTTTTGAAACCAAGAGAGGGGAATATATTAATGAGCTTGATAAATCTACAATTTTCCTATAAAAAGTTAATTGAACTATTATTATTATTATTATTATTAATCAAACCAGAACTTAACAGAAAATCAGATTCGCAAGTTACTCCAAGAACAGTGTACAGATTGGTCGCCTCTCACATATTTGTTCAGAATGATTATTGTTACTTATTATTATTTTCTCTGTGCATTAACATTATTATTTATTATTAACAATAAATTTTACCGAAGATTATAAGATATCCAGGGGAGAGACGCGGGCTGGGATGCTAGACGGTCGGTGTCCCAGCGGTGCCGGCTTCGATCCAAGCCCACAGTGAGCGACCCTTTTATGCCCTATTTTATGGCTCTGTCTCTCCTCTAGGGCCACCAATATCTCCCTTCATCTCATAACAGAGTTAATTCAATCCCCATTTATTACTTAATAAGCTCTTCTTGATTAGAGAATATTTAATTATATTTAATAATTCTCGATTGCAGTGATAGTGAAAATATCAGTAATTACTTTAATAATAAATATATTTTAATTTTAAAAAATAACTACGGTGTGTGCTGTCACACCATAGAAGTGAAAAGATCAACAAGGCAGCATTAATAATATGAAATATATTTTTTTTTCTTCAGTATTCACAAAGTGTATTCAACTTACGCCAACATGAATACCAAATAGGAAAACGTTAATGGAAGCTGGTAAAGAACTAGGACTCGAAATGGACACGGGTAAGAAAAAACAAATGGTTAGCTGCAAAAAATGACAATATTGCCGGTGATATCGATATAGAAGGTAATATGTTTGAACTCGTATAGAAGTTTAGGTATCTAGGTCTACAATAATTAGAAAAAAGAAAATTTAAGAGAAGATAAAGGTTAGGCTGAACAAGCGGGAAATGCTTGTTATTTATCTATGACAAAACTACTTAGCTGGCGCCTCTTGTCCTTAGTGTTGCTCAAATGCAAGACCGAGACGAGTCATGGTCTTGCAAACTCAGTCTTGGTCATGGTCTTATCATATAGTAACTAAGATTGTCAAGTATTAGTAACTATTTTGCCTTAATTTGTATTTAAAAAATCGATTTATTTACCGGTCCTTTCTTGCAACAGTCTTCGGTCTTGCAACAATTAGTTGGCCTTCGTATTGGTCCTCCACTTTGCACGATTTTGGACAACACTACTTGTCCCGGATCTTAAAAACTAGAATCAATGAAACCATTATCTTACCTACAGTTATTTATGGATGCGATATGTGGCCACTTACATTAAGAAATGATCAACGTCTTAAGGTTTTTGAAAATAAAGTATTGCGTAGAATATTCGGACCGAAGAAAGATAAGTTTAGACAGTTACACAACGCAGAATTGCCTGAAGTTTATCCGGTAAATATAATTGAGGTGATTACATCGCGGTGAATCTAATGGGCTTGTTAAATTGCTAGGATTATTAAGGAAAGAATTCTTAAAAGGTTAATGTGAGAAGGAGTTGATCGGGGGGTGCGGTCAAACAAATACTAAATTATAGAAATAGTATTATTTAATTAATTATTTCTATAATTTAATATTTATTAGACCGCACCCTCATATTATATCATGGTCAACCATTTCTAAATCATTAAAAGGTTAATATTTTCTGCACCGACTACTAAACGATGGGTAGACCGAAGCAAAGGTGAGAAGATTGCGCTGAAAGCCGATCTGGAGGGTCTGGGTTTGGACGGTAAACGGTGGAGGGATGTGCGTAGTGATTGGTGTTGTCGGAATCGAATCTTCGGGTTCGCTAAGCCTTTTATCATTATATTCACAAAGTAATAACATTTACAATATTAATAAAACTCCTGTTACGGGGTATATCAATAATTTGTCAAAACACTATCGAGTGCAACAGAAAATCGAATTGAAACACTTAATTTCTTATTTTTGCGGCTTATTAAAAAAACTATCTATATTGACTTCTGCAAATTGGTTTTATCAATTCTCCGTGGTATTTAAATTTTGAGATATTTTATTCTAAATATTCAAAACAATCGTTCTCATTTGGTGGTTGAAATTATAATTTTCTTTTTTCCTTCTCTTATACGACGTCGCGTATAATTTTGAATAACAGCTCAATATTAGTATTGCTTATATGTGAGACCGACTCGTCTTGGTATTGCTCAAGATTAATGCAGATACCTGTTAAGCTGACCCTACACGATAATTCATGAATGACAGTCAAATGACTGACAAGGATTGCTCCAATCATGATTACCCTAACACCTATCAATCATATTGACACATTTTAGCTCAGTTGACATTGAGATAACAGGCAGTGTTAATCTGGTGCATTGTCCATTTATAATAATTTGTTTAATTAAAAAGTCTTATTTAGCCATTATCCATTATAGCATTGGACATGAAGAGAAAATTGGAGGTATAATAATTACTTCCTTGTGCCTGAAAATCGTTTGTAAAAATAATAAAATTGTTGAAAAAATTGATAAAGATTTGACAAACATAACAATAATTAACGATTATTTAAAAAAAAAAAGTAAATTGCGAAGTTTCCACTTTTTTTTTTTTTTAAATTTATTCCCACTTGACTACTTTAAAAAAAAAATCTAATGCGCGCAACTCACAACTTTCACTTACGGATCTACTTTAAGTAGAAATTATTTCCTGGCAATGCTGGGCTATTATAAAATTTTTTGAAGTGCATTTTAAACGGAGCTAAAGCTTACAGATAACAAGTCATTAAGACCATTATAGTTACAAAATGTTTATTTAATATATCGACGAAAGGCAATAAAAATCTATTCACTCTATCTGCTTTTATAAATCACAGAATGACTAACTCCAATTTCAACATTTTTGAGTGATGTCATTTTAGTGATATTTTTAGTTTAAAAAGTTATCTATGCAGACAATGAGTAAGTTGATTCCAGAGGTGGTGATTGCAGTGTTGAAATATAGAACTGAGAATAAAAGTATAAATTTAGGTACTAATTTCTTATGAATGATGTTCTTAGGAAAGACACTTTATTAAATATCTGTAGAAAAAAGGTTTTTTTAGTTTCAACAATTTTTTTTTTTTTTTTTTTAATTTCTTTATTGAGTATTATAACAATCTGTCTGTTCGACATTGGTTATAGTGAGGTAGGATGACATTCACACCATATGTACAAAAAAATAAAATAAATAGAACAAAATAATAATCAAAAGTATATACAATAGACAATAAAATAAAATAACCTAAAAAATAAGAAAATTAAAACTAAGGAAAAAAAAAAAAATAACATGCATACCTATATACAATCAGGCGAGGGAACTCCAGGAGAACCCTGCGCTACTCTTCCAACCGCGTCACTGGTACTAAAGCCAGCGGAGATTGGTCGAGAGCACTGTTTCAACAATTAAAAAAATATTTTTTAAATTTATCCAAATTTTCACCTCTTAAGGGAAAAAACTAGAGACCATATCTTTCCTCCTAATTGTCCGATTTTAACGATTTTTTTTTTGTTTTTTAGGAAATTCCATAAACTTTTAAAAACCAATATCGACAAAAAGAGTATACTTTTTGAGTTATTCGGAATTTAATTTTACCATCCCTCGTAACTTTTTTTCCAGCTTCTTTTCGTTGAAGTATGTTATATAGATAAATATTAATGGTGTCGAGAAAATGACTTTAGGGAAGTTTTATTGTAATCGTTACATTCGTTTAGGCGCTACAGTCTGTAGGAACGCAGGTTTTTCTGCATTTTTATTTTTTTTCCTCTATTAATTTATCAAATTCTTTCAAAAGTTATATGTAGCATTTTTTCGTAACTCTGAATAATGCGAAATGGTTAACTTCTTAAAATAAACCATATTAAAGGTACTTTAAAGGAAGACATATATGAACATTGGGCATTTAAGCCCTGTAAAGTGACATAAACGGGAATAAGACCTAAATGATATTAAAGACCACTTAATTATACAACGATACACCATGTTTGATCAATATCGTTAGAGTCGTTTTTGAGAAAATTGTAAAAATGAGTTTCAGCGTTCAAATAAAGTGGCACTTCCGGTAAACCGATTTTAACGAAAAAGTTGCTGTCATATTCGGCCCATAAACAAACCTTAAATACTTAATGTCAGTTTCGTACTACTTTTCGTTTATGAGCTAGACTCTTAACACAAACACACACCATTTTGCGACACTTGGTTATTTGAACTCAGGGGACCTCAAAACATGTATTTCCGTTAAACTAAGATTCGAAAATTTTCACGATCGCAATACTTACCCTTACTATATATTACATATATACGTTAGTGAAAGTAATAGTTGAAGATGGTTTATAAAAATATAAACAAGAGATATGAAAAACTATTTACATTTAATGAAAATCGGGAACTTACAATGGTTGTGAGGAGAAGGTAAACTCCAGTAGCTTACTACAAGCCTTAGCTAGTCTCTCCACTACTTTTACCTAAGTCTCCCCTCTCTTTTTTGTCATAGAATCTTTGATTTCTGGATTTTCGAAAATCCACCAGACACATCCATCAATACTTGAGATAAATAACTAATTTTTCTAATAATCGATCAGTGCACAAGCGGATCCAAGAAATAATTTTGGAGGCTTCAGCCCGAAAACTTTTTTTTTCATTGATGTAACGATAATTTCTTTGGAAAAATAAAAGAAATATACTAACTACCTATATGGAATGGTGTTTAAGTGATTCTTCAAGTCCTACTAAATGTAATTACATGAGCAATAATACTTTAAGAGGTTATTTTTTCAATATTTTTTACAATAAAACATGGTTCCATGTTACCATTTTTGGGGGTAGGGCTTCCACCTGAAAGCTCCCTACCCTCCCCGTTATATTCGCCTGTAGATTAGATAAATCATATCAGAGTACGGTTTCTTTGATGGACCAAAGCAATGTATACGGGTAAGTAAACAATTGTTAAAATCTGTATAAAATTCAAAATACTGTATCGTTGCTAATACTGCTCCGATTAAGAAGATTTTTTTTTTTTTTTTTTTTACAGCTTTGTCGGAAATTAAATAACCTTTTAACAGATATTACAGACTATAGAGATATCTCTGTAAATTTCCAGAATGGGGAAACCTTACTAAATCCTGAATAAAAAAAAGTCGAAAGACTTAAATGCAAAAAGATATTGCTTCTACCAATTCATTACAAAAAGTAACTAAAATTATCTAATATTAATAAGTATTTTTCATTCCCAAAAAGCTTTTTTTTTTTTTTTGACCAGTCTTGGTCTTGTAAAATGCAAGACCAAGACCGATTATATACAGTACTTCTCATTAAAGTCAGAAGATGATTTCTTCAAGTTTCTATTTTAATCTAAATGCAAAAGTTCGTCGAGCCGACTTTACCCGAA